ACTTTAGTTATGTTAAGCAACAGACATCAACTGTGCCACATGCCTCCTGTAACTTCAGCCTCATGCTCATCAGAGCTGCGACTGTCAAGTCTAATATGCAATACTTGAGATGATTCTGCTGTGTGACTTGATTCTTTATTCTCAGTCTGCTTTAATATACATCAGGGTTGATGGATCCAGCTCCCCACATCTTATGTTCCCTGCCCTCCACGCTCTCCATCTCTTTTCAGCCTTCGTCTTTCTCCATTTCTCTATCTCCAATTACTGTTGTATTAACTCCATTAGAGAAACCATCAGTTGTGTAATTGGCCAATCGGCATGAGGATCAGGCTCCTGATCAAGTTTCATAACAAATATTAAGCACAGCTGGAAACAGAAGTGTGCAGTAAGGCCCTGGAAGAGGCTTCATCCCCAAGACCTGGAGTTCACCTTATCCTAAAGCTTTCTGTCTCTGTCCTCCATTCTTTATTTTTATCCTCTCTATCACCCTGATTTCCTGTTTCCATCCTCCTATCTCGTCTTCCTGTGATCTGTCCCCACTCATGTGGGGATGTGCAAGGTGCTTGTCCCATTTTTTTCCCCCCGTGTCACTCATACATACGCTCTTTCTTTCACTCTTTCCCTGTCTGTATCCATGGCCGTGACTGATGTCCTGCTGCCCTAAGCTTATCTCAAGGGTGTAATCAATACATGCAATAACAGAGATGTATTACAGTCTCTCCCTTTATCTGTCTTACTCTCCCTCTCTCACAAACACACACACACGCACAAATTACCGGCATCATTAGATAAACATGATGACTCTGTAGATGTAATTACTGTTGAATCAACCGTAATTAGCACCAGGCAAATGCAAGCAGGATTACAGATTTGCTGCCATACAAGAGAGGTACATCTTGTACTACTTAATGGATGTAGATGTAGAGCATGATCTGCCCTATTTTTGCCCAGCAGGTTTACAACCACTTAATCTTAGCTCCAGGTAACACGGGCTTGAGTTGAGCTATACACTTTGTTCATTCACTCAGAGAAATTCATCCAACAAAAAAATCCTTTAAAGAGCATGTTTATTGTTGTGGATGAATGAATTTTTCAGAGGTGACTTCACTGTTCTTGGCAGAGTGCCGGACCACAGCAAGCCACACAAACCAACACAGCTGCCATACAGTCCTCGCAGCCGGTATTTACTGCACATTAAAATAATATGATTGTGTGGCAGACGCTGTGCTTTGGCTCACTGGGAAATTTCTGCCAGGCGGTGTTTGTACCAGCTCGGAGCCAGAGGATTGAATACGATTTGACCTTGTGATTTAATTTCACAGCCCAGGTGTTTGCTTCTTCAAAGCCAACAGTGGAGGCATCAACAGAACAGAGCTGTAAAATATTTAATGAAAAAATCAGTGAATAATTGATTGCGAGGAGCCCTTCTTGAGAGCTACAGCCTACTGTCCAAAATCCTGGCTTATGTCCTGATCCCAGTGTTCTAATTTTGTTTTTGCTTTCTATAACATTTGTGCATGTCAACTGTGGTATTGTTGTAGATTGTGGTTATGACAAAGAAACTATGGTGAAGGTAAATTTACAGTTAGGCACCTGAAACACTTGATTAAGGTTAAGGAAAGATTATGGTTAGCATTAATAAAAAGGCAAATGTATTGCAGGTCTACAGCTAGCCCCTGTTGTGCCTCTCATGTTTTATCATTACTTTTGAGTCACAGAGCTAAGCAGCTGTTCTTCTCAAAGATAAATACCCAGCGATCTTTGAAAAACCCAGAAGAGTTCAACAAACTTAAACGTACCTATTTTCTAAAGGAATTTCCAGAAACCTCAAAGACTCTTCTAACCATCTGTGCATGATTTAAAAAAAAAAAGATTATAAGTGCAGTTATACAATATAGAGAATTATAACTGATAGTAAAACTTTTTATTTTTGGTTCACATCATACAAACTGAGCGAGGCCTTACGTCATTCTCGACTGCCATCTCTGATTTTTTTGGGATCAGGAAAATAAGTCACAATTTGGGAAACGTGTTAAAAATGTGTTTCATCACACAGTGAAGGAAATATTTTTTCACCCAGATGGTTCGAAGAGTCTTTGAGGATTTTGAAAATACCTTCCGGAAAGAAACCTGATAAAGAATCTTCTTGGATTTTCAAAGATCAGCAGGTATTTATTTTTCAGAAAAAGACAGCTAAGCTCTGTGACTTGGATGTAATGTTCATACGTGAGAGGCTTAAAGTCGGGGTTAGTTTGCAGCAAGGCGCAAATTCTAGTCTCCTGCATAAAAGTCTAAGATGCTACTCACCTATCCACCCTTAGTTTTCTTCCTTGGCACATAGAGGGAACGTACCCCCTTGTGAACTGGCACTTTATCCCTAGGGATCAGAAATGCTTCATATTACGCCAACAGATTACGCTCTTATGCAAATCACCTTCTGACTTTGACTGCATCTCATCTAACCCTTTTTCCACATTTCTCTCTTCTGACTCACTTTCTCCATGACCTGTTCTCCCTAAATTGTTTCTTTGCTTCCTCCCTCCCACTGTCCCACTATGTACCCTCTCGCCCTCTCTCCCTCCCGCCCTCCATTCCCTGGTTTGGGAGTCAGTCGCTGTGACGTAGCTGTTGTTTCATCACCACAGAAACAATCCAGGCTACAAGGACTGAAGTCCCCGCCCCTCTCTCATGGACACACACAATTTTCCTCGGCAAACAGCATCTCTCTGTGTGCAGGTGTGAGTGAGTGCGTGAGACAGCAAGATGGGTGTCGTCCTTGTGCCCATTCAGGGATACGCCCCAGGGACAGTAGTCTGAACATGCTTTTCCTTTTCACAGGTCAGCAGTAGGGAACACTCGCTTTCCTCCTTACCTGCAGGCTGATGAGAACAAAGAGGAAGAACATGGAACAATGTCCAGCAAAGAAAAACATGTTTTTCCTCTTTTTTTCAGTCTTGTAAATCGTCCCAGTCTGTCTTGGCTTATGATGCTCATTCAAACATTGTCCACCCTTGGCTACTGTGAGCTAACATACTGCAGAATTACATACACAGGGGGACACAGTGGTGCATTGTGTGAACGCTGAGCCTGTGGAAAGAACTGGCCAGTCCAGGCTTTTCGTCTGCGCAGAGGAATGAGGAGTAGGGTTGAACAGGATTTGGGTTTGCCCCAAAATAGCTAACGGAGACTGGTGTGCTTTGTCCGTGGCTTTCCAACTTTGTTTGGGTGTCTGTGAGTGTCAGTAAAAACTCAGAGGCTTTGACTGTCAACGTCAAAGTGCATCATTGATGAAATTCAACAGAATGAAGGAGCAGAAATGTTTTTGTTTTCTCTCATGGCTCCACATGAACAGCACTACTTCAAATTTTTATTCTGTGTTTGCCATTAAGTGTCTTTGCTGCTCACAAACACTTTACACAGCTATGTAAGAGAATAAAGAACAAGCTTTTATGGTTCCAACTAATGAAAGGGAAAACGGAGCATATTAATTTCACATAAACACTCAATTAAAAGTCTCGTCTTGCCTTTCTATCCACTACATCTTAAGTGATCCGTTACAGCTTTCCACTCTTTCACACTCAATACGGCCTTTGTTTTAACTGTGGAGGCATTGTAAAACCTGATAGCTACCAGTTCTATTTTTACTATCAAAACGGGAATTTAACTAGATATATCATCTGAAAGGTCTCACATTTTGTTCACAACAAAAACCGAAGGCTGTCTCATAACAATGTATTCTCATGAAACATGGGATTAGATATAGACTATTTATGATTACTAGTTCATGTTCAACAAGCCATACTGAAATACTTATATAATATATGTGGTTATCAGTGCACTCTGCAGCTCCAAAGCAGGGTTAGAGAGGGTTTTGTGCATCTGTGCTCTCTTTTCTTTTTACTTCTTTGTAACCTTTCTTGATCTTGATCATATATTCAGCACTAGACGTGACCATCGCCAAGCATCATATTTGGGGTTGTAACCTTAGAAATATCAGAGGATTTTATCAGAATACATGGCAGGTTTCTGCAGCTAGGCTAATCTTCCTGCTGTCTCCCAGTGACAGCTCTACCTTTAACATCTGGGATCATTAATGTGCACTCATGCTCCTGAGTGCGCCATACAGAAAAAGCATGGTAGAGGAGAAGAGGCCCCAAAGGACTTCTCTTAAAGTCTGCTTGACAGCCCCTGGGACTCAGAGAGCCATCTGATACTTCACTGCATATTTCCAGCAGGCTCCCTGACTCACTTTAAAACCCTAGATTATAGCTACTTTAAAATTAAAAACAAAATTGTACCACTGTTTAGTAAGTTAGCAGCTCTTTGTTTAAACTATGCTGTTGGCCAACCAGATATGACCTAGACTGACATCAGCAGTGAAAACCAAAACATTGATTCACAACTACATGATGTATGAAAACAGCATGAAGCTAAAATAACATATGATCCTGCTGCCATAATACTAGTGATATTTTGTGTAAAATCCAGAAATAGAAGACATTATTTTGAATAGTATAAGATTTCATACAGCAGTTAGATAGTTGTCCAGTTAGCCATCCAGCTGGCTGTTCAGTTAGCCTTGCATAAGTTATATTAGTTTTAGATTTAACACTTGAGTCATTTGCATAGAGCAAAACTGTGGGAAATATAAATTAAAATGAGATATCCCAGTCATCTGGAGGGAGCACAGCTGGACAGCCAGTTGGTATTGAGTTGCTCTGAATAATGTAGAGGCAGAAGGCGTTCCCTCTAATTAAACCAACACATCATGTGTGAACATCGGGTCAGAAGCAGTTTTAACCATATTCCAGTGAAGATAATGACTGTTTCCGAGGGGAAATGACATAACATTGCCTTTGTCCACCTACTTAAATAAGTGAAGGATAGTGCATCCGCCTCTGAGTACAGGGTGACCTTTGATCAAAATTTGGAACATTTTGGTGGTCATGAAAGTCACTAAATCAACCATGTTTGTCCCTTATTTGTCCTCTCCTCTTCAGGAAACAGGAGCTGCTGAACATCTCCAACGTCCCTCTGGGAGAATGTCCCCCCTCACCACCCCGCACTGCACCACCCAGCATGAAGGTAGGACACACACACGCATTAATGTGCATGTGCACACACATATGGCAAGGCATTCATGTCAACACACTCACACACACATTTTTAGAAAGACATTGATTTACTGACTTTTCTTTCATGTATTTTGCCCTTTAGACCTTCGCGCCTATTGAAAAATGTATTGACTCTGATTATGCTCATTGAGAAACTGCTTCAGCAAGTAAAGCAGTTCAGAGACAATGACAAACTGCAGTGTCACGACAACTTAAAGTTCACAGCATGACACACATTACATCACATCATTTACAGAAATGTAAGTTTTTTTTTACAGGTGACACTGCTTTATCTCACAACATGCATATACACTGTTGCTCATAAAGTTGGAATAAAATATTTTACCTCTTTCCATGAAATGATTGTGACAATGTGATTTATTCTTGACAGATAAAGTGTATATCTTCTCAAAACTCTAGCAGTCAATCTCTTCCAAACATATCACAATGAAAATTAAACCACAATTAAACCACAATTAAACTGAAAACAAAATTATTCCAACTTTATGGGCAACAGTATAGTTTATAATCCATGACACAACTTTCTTGTTATTTGCACTACATGCTCTCTGACAGCCTGCATTTTTAATGAGCTGAAACACATACATATTACATTGACATCAATTTAAATGTATTGTATTAAATTAATTGAAAACATACAAGTTGGTCACCCTGCATGATTTTGTACTATTTGGACATTAAGTCAATCAAAATTCAAGTTAGGTCAGCCTCTGTCCAAATTAGATTCTCCATAATTTATTTCCAATATTGCTCTCACAGACAGTAAACATATCACTGTGTAAATTGGATCTCACTCATCCTAGTTTTGCTGTGGTTACTTCTTCATGCTTGGAGTGATGTAATCTTTTTCTCAGTGCCTGCTTGATATAAATCCTGATATTTTTTTTATTTTTTTTTGGAGTTACTTCTGAAGGCATCACAGAATAAGAGCCCAAGTTGCAAAGCTCATGTAGGAACTGAACTTTGCTCTGTGACACTGCCATACTTTAAATTTTTGGTTTCATACTGTTACAGCTACAACTCATACTGTTACTCTGCTTTTATTTACTTATGACCTTTATTTGACTTTAGAGAGCAAACCTTGACCGTTATGGCCGTGGAATTGTCAGCATACAAAGCCTTGAAGTAGTTTTCAAGGTCTTGAGCTCACTTGTTTTTTATTTCTCCACATTTGACTACTGTTATTTCCAGTTCTACTGTGATTTGGAGTCTTTAGATTGGAGATTTTCTTGCCAATGACAGGTTGTGCTATGAAAAAGGAACGCTTGCAATTGAATTATCCTGTGATGTAGATGACCAACTACAGTAGGAAAAGGTGTGAAACTTTATTCTGAGGTTGATGGTATCCTTCCAGAAATTGTCAAGTTCAATCAAACTGTGTCCTCAAAGGAAACTCTGGCCAAAGCTGTGACTCGGCAAATGGAAAAGAATATCAAAGCAAAACCAAACTGAATATGAATACAGATGAAATCCATCAGACTGTAGAGGATCATCTTTCTCAGGTGTTGTCTGACTGATTCATGTAGTGACATATTATTGCGCTGCACGTACAGAGAACGCTCTTTATTATTTATATGAGATTATAAAGTGTGATGTTTTCAGACATTCATCAGCCTGCTCGCACGCCATTGCACTTGTACTACAGCTGAAGAATTTAAAATTTTTCCTCCAGCATGATGAAAGAGAGTAAACGTTTTGCAGGGAGGCAGATTAGCAGGGTGATATGCAGGGAACAGACGATGGCTCCTGCAAGAGGGAGCCTCTTGTGTTGTATGTCACCTTGAACTAAACCATCATTATTGAATCTGCTCAAGACAACACAGAGGGAGATAGCAAAGAAAGGAAGAGACAAATACAATGATAAAGTTTGCTCATGGTAACAAACACAGGAAAAGCTGCTTTACTGAATATATGGTCAGGCCAAGACAGGAAAACAATACCATAATAATATGAGTATGAATATACGAGAGAAATAGAGCTCAAACCATGAGACATCATTTACCCTCTTAGCGTGTGGCTGATTGTCTGGTAATTATCAATTGCCAAACCACAGTTCTGCTGTGAGCTAGAGTGGTCTAATGGTCAGACATTCATCATCAATGTCACACTGGTTGAAATGTTTTGAAACTTATAGTTTCCTATAATCACAGTTCACATCAAATCTACAAGATTGTTCCACTTCAGGTGTCATGTGATGCACAGAAGAAAAAACAGATGATGCAGCTTAAAAATTAAACATTTAAGTAATGCACTCCAAATAGTACTACTCAAGCTTCATAGCGAAACCATGTGTAAGTTCATGCAACAAAAAGGCAGTAATATTAAACTAGAATCAAAAACACTCCACTCTCCACTGGTTCTGGATTCATTGACACCTTTCATACACAGTAGTTTTGGCACCGATTTAAGTCTGATCCTCTGTTTAGTTGCTGGATAATGTACCGCTCACAAATATGAAAACATTCACATCTGATTGCACAGACTACGTGTGGTTGCTACCCAACGTAGTTATTGGCATTGCCCTTCAAATACAGCGGCCATAAACAAGAGCCACCTGGGCAGCCAGACTGGCATGAAAATAGCGGATTTGTTCACCTGGCAGACATATGGCCTTTGTGTTCTGCAGCTGTTTGGTGAATGTTCTTGACTTTATGTTTACAGACGGAACATCTCTAAATTAATACAAAGATGAAAATGAGGAAAGTGAGGAGATGTTATCTCTTTAAGAAGGACTTTCATTGGTCGGGACTGGTGTTTCGGGTTAGAGGTCAGGTAACAGTGGTGTGTAAACATATGTCAGTGGTGGACAGTTATAAACTATGTTTACACAAGTTCTGTACTTAATTACAAGTCATGTTTGAGGTGCTTGTGCTTGAGTTTATTCTGATTTATTCTTCTACTACATTAACACTGCAAAAATATCATCAACAAATAGTAGTATACTTGTGTGATTAGTGTAATTACTGGTAATGCAGTGTGTGTGTGTGTGTGTGTGTGTGTGTGTGTGTGTGTGTGTGTGTGTGTGTGTGTGTGTGTGTGTGTGTGTGTGTGTGTGTGTGTGTGTGTGTGTGTGTTTTGACATTTCATTCTGTGTTTACGCATTATGTAGTGACTCACGTTGTGTATAATGTTAACAGTCAGCCTTCAAAGACACTGTGGCTGAGACAGCAAAACACAGACAGGTAGACAGTTCTTGGCCCACATGGCTGACGTGCAGTGTGTGTGTGTGTGTGTGTGTGTGTGTGTGTGTGTGTGTGTGTGTGTGTGTGTGTGTGTGTGTGTGTGTGTGTGTGACATGACCTATTCTGTTTTGCTGCCTGACTTGACTTTCCTGTTTAAGCTTTAGGCTTTTAAAGGCTAAATAGAGATTAGTAGAGAGAACGGAGTGAGAGGGAAGTCCTTTTCGAAATGTGGAAGGCAGGTGTAAATAAGAGGAAGCCAGAGACACAAAAGGCTCAGATGTTTTAGCTGCTGTTGTTAAGGTAAGTCTGCATTTTGACTCAAAAACAAACAACAACCAGATAGTCTGTTACTAAAAATGAATGTACTTTTCAGATCAAAGTATGTGGCTTAGTGTGTGAGTTTACCTGCATATAAATTCTCTACTAACAATGAATCTACTTCAGGTATCAACTTGTTAAGAGTTGAACAAATTTCTCTTCCATTCATTCTCAGCAGTATGATGATGACAACATAATGGCTACTGTCTATACCTCAGTCAGCGTTGCTAAACTCATTGATGTGAAGTCATGTTTTACAGCGATTATTCAATCATTTGCACAAGAATAGATATTCTGTACCTACACGATTTAAAGATCAGCAAAAGCATTTGGCAGTTTTTTTCCCGTAGCATTGTTTAATGTCAAAAAAATGTTACATTTGGTTTAAGAAGATTTTACAATTTAAGATTTAGGAAACACTTCAGTCGGTGCAGGTAAAATCACTTCAGACGCAGTGAGTGTTGGGATTGAATTGATATCCTACAGTGCAGACACTGCATCTCTGAAACTTCTGCAGATTTATGACTTATTTATAGCAGATTTACTCCCACGTGTACAGGATTTCACAACAATATTCTATAATCCAGGGACCAAACCAAAACCATATTGACTGAAGTATCAAATACAGATGTGTATCATTGTAAATATCTGGTAGAGATCTGTACTATGAGGATGCTTATTAGGTCGTTTTTCTGCACATCTCATAGCTGAGAGGCCGGGGCTGTCAGCTCCGGCCCACCCCTTCATCCACCTATCACCTTTTTGACCCAGAGGAGGAATTGTGTTGTGGGATGGGGAGATTAGTCTGTGGATCATTCTGTAGTCATTTCAGGACAATGCGAAATGCAAATTGGTTTGAGGTGCAGTTATTTTGAGCAAGTTTCTCATGTGTTGCAAGCAGAAGTGAACTGTATCTGACTAGAAACAGTGAGTGACTCTTGTGGCTATGATAAGAGTATGATACTAAAGATACACATTTCGTGTCTTTTTGACATAGTGAGACTGTAAACAGAGGACGAAAGAAAGAAGTCAAGGATTACCTGGTGAATTTAGTGTCTTTCAATTAGAGTCTTTGATAAAGTTAAATTCTGTAACAGTCTTTCAATCCTAATGATAGCATGATAAGACATCGTCATTGCCATCATTGTGCAGCTGATCATGTTCATGACTTTACATGAATATTCTAGAAATCACTGAACGTGTCAGTCAGTCAGGCAGAAAGGCAGCTGATCTAATCTGCCTGTGGTCTGTGGCAGCTCTAGTGAGTTGCCATGGGAGATAAGAGATACTGATGTTAGTTGGAGAGAGAGATAGAAAGATGGAGGGAGAGATAGATAGAGAGTATGAGAAAGAAAGAAGATAAAGAAATCAAAACAATGAGACAAGAAAGAAAGAAGAAATTGTATGAGGGTTAAGAGAGAAGTGTGAGACACCGGGACAGAAGGGACAAAGCGCAAGGACAGAAAAGTGTCAAATAGACGTCATGTGTTAGATTGACAACAAAGCAAAAATGACAGATAGGTGTCTCTTGTCCTTGCTGTTGTCTGGTCACTGTAGGGGATATAGCTGATGATTGAAGACACTGTCAGCAGTACAGGAGCCCACTCAAACACTGCCAGGACCCGCTGCATCAGTGCGTCTTTTAAACTGTCGTGGTCAACAGTCTGTGAGGATGTTATATGATACATCAAACAAAGAAGGAAAAAGCTAAGGCTGTGAAAGCAGGAAAACATTTACTCTTGTTGCTCTCATATGATTCCACTTACAGTCACACCACACACATACATGTCGACTGACAGAACTGCTATCTAACAGATACAGACAGCTGTGCTTATTGTTGGTCTGGCAGTGTGGTGTTGACTCTGTAGGTCCAGCCGCAGCGTTGTATCAGTTTACAGCACCTTTAACTGGTTAATATTAACTCATTGATAAACTCTGTGTGAGTGTTTGCATGTTGTGCCTGTAGTTCTATCTTGTCTTGTCTTGTCAGTGGGAGTGGTGATGAGAGATTTATAGATTTTCACCATAGTGCAGGTAACCAGTGTAGAGAGTGAGCATTAGCTCATTACAGCCGTGCTATCCAAATGTAGTCCTTTAGAGTTTTTTACTGCTAGAATACAGCCATTCAAAAGACTGTAAAACACCAGTTAAACACTTTTCCAGACTTCCCAGGTTAAAGAGCTGCGGTTCATTGGTAAGGCATTTATTTCCCGCTTCCTCTTGCTTTGTAATTTATGGTCCTACTGAGTGTGCAACACCCTGACTGGTGCATTTATAAGTGTTATAGTGCAAGTTAATGTGTGGTATTAACTGTCAGTTTTAGTTTAAGTGAGACATAGTTGATGTTTTTATCAGTAAGAGGAGGAAGAGGAAACATTGTTGATGTTGTCGATTCTATTTAGATAAAAGTATTTTAGTGAATTTCTTCCTTCTTTTTAAATGGAAGTTTGATTTGGTGACAGGAACTGACGTCTCTTTGTGAGTGAGTGAGTGAGTGAGTGAGTGCATGTGTGTGCACACACTTGTATAACCTAAGCAAGCCTGCTAAAATTACATTTACAATCTGAGCTCAAAGGCACAAAGCAAGTAGACCATTATCACCCTCTTAACTTGTTTATGTGACAAGGTGGGAGCCCGGGGGAAGAGGATGTGTGAATGCACTCAAAGATGCATGTGTCTGTGTTCGTGTGTGTTTATGTGTGTGAATGTTGTGTTCTGAGGAAGTGGTTGCTTATCAGTGTGTGTGCATGTGGTTGTGAGCGCATGTTAGGAAAGCCTCTGCCCTGCCCTGCCCTTTTGACACAGCTAAGTTTATACTGTGGAGGAGAGTCATACACGCGCAGCAAGATCTACTGCTGTAAACACCAGTGATACCGATGTAAGCCATGCAATGACTGAAGTGTTGTACTGACTAAACATGTGTTTTGTGTCAGTAGATTTTACTTCTGTAAAAGTCAGAATTTAGCAGTGCTACACCTTGTTTTACAAGTTTTAAAATTTTCTCCTATCTGTGTTTCAGTCTGCAGAGTTCTTCGATATGCTGGAGAGGATGCAGGTATGAAGTTCTCATACTTTCAACATTCTTTTCTTTCCTGTGAATCCAGATTCCTTCTCTACTGTAATCCCTGACTCTCCTCTTTATTTCATTATCTCTATTTCCTCCTTTCCGTCACCGCTCTTTGACAACTATTGAGCAATAATTTCATATTTGCAGTCTAGCAGCATGTCCGTGCTATCAGGAGATTGTTACACTGGGTAAAACTTTGAACGGACTGCGAGATGGTGTCTGTCCTCTCTTTTTCTCCAACCAAAACCACATTCAACATATACAAGGATAAAACAGGCCCTGATGATTCAATCAGTGTAGGTCAGCTGGGTTCAGTCTGTTGCTCAGATTGGTTTATGGTCATGCTGGGGCCAGAGAAGAATAGCTCTGGCAAGATCTGGACTGGCGTAACTATTTTATCCATCTCAGTATGGAATGCATTGATTTCCTTTTTCTTCCGAACAAAGTCTGTCTCTCTCTGTATGTGACTGCTTTGTGCCCTCCAAAGGCCCCTAAGGGCGCGGGCTTTGAATAGTGTCATGACAGATGGGGATGTAAAAAGTGAGAAGAGTAGGACACAGAAGGTGGGAAATGAAAGGCAGAGAAGAAGAAAGAGGGGAATAGAAGTCAAAGGAAAATACAAAGATGGAGAAAAATACTATTTGCGGGTTCTTTGTGAGGAATAATGGTTCATGGTTCATGATAAGATCTCCAAAATGTGTGAACTGAATAGTCTAGTTACTGGAAATGTTTCTAAGTTAAGTATAAAATGATCGTTGTATTAACACAGCTAATCAGATTTTCTTTGCATGGATATTAACAAGGGCTGGACTATTGATTATCAAAGTCATAATATGGCTACATGCAATATCCAAATGCATGAGCTATAATTTTTTGATAAAGGTAAAATGTAAACATACCATAAATGAAGCCTGCAAAACATATTATCCAGAAAAAACATGCTTGTTTGGTACAAGCCTCAACATAAATCACATCATTGTCATTTTTTTTTTTTTAAAGTTGAAAATAAAATGCAAAAAATGAGTTTTTGAGGTACCCGACTAATTTAGGACATGAAAGTATATATGAGACCCATTTTTAAAGATTCACATCTTCAGTAGGAATTAACTGAGAGATGGACTAACACACTGTTTGGTTTGGTCTTTACTTGAGATTTGTTGACAACATGAAAAATAGAGAATGAGATCAGCCTTATCCTTCAGTTTTGAATCATGATACACTGAGGGATGAAAAGAGAAGAGGAGAAAAATGCAGCTTGAGGTGAGGGAGCATCACAGGATGACTGAAGACATCAGGGGGGTTATTTGGAAAGTGTAACTTGTGGATGGCAGCCAGTCAATGCAGCCTGGTGATCAAACAGTCTCACACACACACACTCGCACACACTGTGCACCTCATCCATCTTTTCTGAACCTCAGCTTGCATCGACCTGCTCTCTTGAGCTCTGCCACCAATAACTCCACATGTGGAACTGAATGTTCAAAGTGTGCTTCAGTACTGTAATCTGGATGGTGCTGATGAAGGTCAACTTGTTCATGCCCAACTTTTATTTTTCTTCTCTTTTCTTCTTCCTCTTCTAACTTCAGCCTTCCCACCTCACCCTCCTTCCTTCTCCTTTCTCCTCTCTTCATCTTTGTTCCTCTGTCAATACTGAATATATGAAGCCTCTTAGGAGCATCTTTGTGATCAGCCTCATACTGTGGACAATGACTCCCCTGTGACTGTAACAGCTGCTCTGTCAATATGCACTTAGACAGACACACACCACTACAGACTGGGCTGAGAATTGTGTGTGTGTTCAAATGGATGCTATCTGAGTCTTCTTATGATTTCTTGTATAAGAAGTGTTGGTACTGGTGTGTATGTTCAGCACTCATGCATTTATTTCCTCACTCCTATGCTCAGTCATGTAGACAAGCTGTTCCACTGGGCCTGTACCAGTAATTGGCCAATTTACTCTGTGTCTACCAGATTGGCTTTTCATATCTGCATATATCTACAAAGCATCTGCAGAAAAAGGCCTCAGCTTGCGCCTAGTGCTGCTGTATTCCAACAAATGGTAATAGCAATTGAGGGAAGCAACATGTCTGGAAGCTGGATTCAGAGAGAGCAAGGATGACTAAGTGTCTGTATTACCTGTGTGTGTGTGTGTGTGTGTGTGTGTGTGTGTGTGTGTGTGTGTGTGTGTGTGTGTGTGTGTGCGGGTGCACGTGCGCACGCGCTTGTGTGTGTGTTTAGGAAAGGACATTAGCATGTATGACTCATTCAATTGTCATCTGGCAACAGAGACAATGAGATCTGAGTAAAACACCATGTTCTAGGAGTTTTTAAAAGCAGAAAAAGAGAAGAAAAAAAACCCCGGAATTTTCTTTTTGACCCGTGTGCTTTTCCGTCCTCATGCTGCTGCGTACGGACACTAATAAGGTCCCTAAAGCTGAAGAGACCAAAAAATGGAAGGTGTGACCAGACACACACTTGTTCATATCTTGTCTGTAGATCTCATCAGATTGTGTTATTATATCCTCTGTTCGTCTGCATGTTTTCCTTCATCACTTCTTCATCATACCTCCTGATTTGCTCTGTGGTTTCTCCTGTCTCATCTGTCTGCTTATGAGGGATTCTGAACACCCCCGTGAACACCTTTCAGATTTTTCTCAGGCCTTTTAAAGTACGCAATCAATAGCCTCCTGATCTGATTGATTATAAACTGAATGAACTCCAACCGCCAATTGATCCTCTCCGGCCTGCCAGTACCCTGACTCCTGCTGCTGCAGAATATAAATGACTGGCTGTCTGTGGTGCTGTGCTCTCAGTAGTGCAGACGGGCCTCAGCAGTATTTAGAGGTCATACACTGGAGCTGTGCTACGCTAGCAGACTGCCAAACGACTAAAGGCTCATAACAGCTCTGAACCCCAGAGGCTACTTGATTAAAACAGCTCTGACATCATGAAGGGGTGACACGCCCTCATTGAAGTGCACTGATGACTCTGCGTTTCAGGCTGTTGCATCATTGCCTGACACTCCACTCTTAGTCTTATGTTACTCTTATGTTCCTGTGTTTGTGGCTCTGCTTGCAACTGCATGACTGTAGTGAAGGTGAGTGTTTTTCACGTAAGTTAAAATTAGACTTTTTAACATTGTGTGTGTCCTCTGTTTAACAGGATGACTATATCCCCTACCCACGGATAGAAGATGTGAGTCATGTCTCACTCATACACTCATAACACACATTTACACCCTTCTCATGTGTTCCAACATAAAACATTTGAAGCCTTAAGGTCCTTTGCAACGACTCATGATTATCAAGCTTGTCTTATGAAGGTGCCGTTTCTCAGAGATATTGTATTTTATTAAATTTGGCTTTTGTCTGCCTCCCCTCGGCCCTCCTGCCCAAGGTCCTGGAGAAGGGTGGTCCATACCCACAGGTAATCCTGCCACAGTTTGGGGGTTACTGGATTGAAGATGTGGAGGCACCGGCAGGGACCCCCTCCTCCTCGGAGTCTAGTTTCTGTGAGGAGGAGGACAGAGAAGAGGGCATGAGCCCGGGTGGGGGGCACAGTTATCGCCTGGAGTGCAACAGCACAGCCCGCGCCTACCGCAAACACTTCCTAGGCAAGGTTAGTCTGTGCGAATAATTGTCAGTTTCACTGTCTATTTGGCAGAGAAAGGCTGTTGTTGTGTTTGACCTAAAGTCTCACACCCTCTTTCCCACACTCCTACACCCAGGAACACATGAACTACTACTGCACTGGCAGCAGCATAGGCAACCTCATCATGTCCCTCAAGCACGAGGACGCTGAGGGGCAGGAGTTCTTACGCATCATGCTCAGGTACAATGAGAGAAATGCATTGTCAGTTGTAGTGTCTTGATATATTCCATGTGTCATGACAAATAATATATACACACCACATCTTTAATGTTGATTTTCACCCGTTTTTGTACAATTCAATTTTCTCTTCAGTCCAGGCTATTAAAGTCTGTCTCCGACATGCTCTTCTGCTGGTTTGCTTATTAAGTAATTCACAAACTGAAATTTTTACGTGACAGTGGCGCTGGATGAAAAGTTTGTGGATCAGATCAATGGGAACATAAATGTTTTCATGAAATTTTATACCAGTCCACCCAACAGTTGTCGAGACATTCCAGTCAAAGCCACAAATCTGAAATTCATGGTGACACTAGAGTAAACCTCAGCACATCACCACAGTCAGTAGGATTCATCTCCTGAGGACCATGAAAGTCTGCACAAAATTTCATGGCAATCCATCTGATAGTTGGTGAGGTATTTCAATCTGGACTTAAATTCACTAACCGATAGACCAACAGGCTGACATTTCCATCCATAGTGCCACATTACAAGCATGGCTAGAAAAGATAATAAAGCAGGCCTACCTAGATACTCTCTGTCAAACGGCTGCAGCTCTTTGTCATGATTAATTCTGAACAGATTTGTGGCGCTGCAGCTGACAGCTCTCCTGTCATTATCACAGTTGGTGACATTTTCATGAACGGGTGACAAAAATAAGGAAGTAATGCTATGTTTTTGCTCGTGGGCACTGTAGAGGGGACTGTGGGCAGGGGATGGCTGAACTCTTCTTTGACAGCTGACAGTGATAATGTCAGTACTTGATATTAATCAGCCCATAACCAGTTGCCGTCTTTTCATCTCTATTGAGACCTGCTGAGACTAAACTCATCATGATCACAGTTTTTCCTTAATTTCACCTTGCCAGTGGATGGCATATGAAGTGAGTGTTACCTGAAACATCAAAAGTTAAGAAATCTCTTTGATGGAGCAAATCTCTGAATCCTGTTTCAGGTCGAGGACCAAAACAGTCCATGACAGGATCTCTTTAGCAGGCATCAGCCAGCTGCCAAGTGTACCTCAGATTGCCAAGGTAAGATACAGCTCACAAGTACGATATGTAAAGAAGACTACTTTCCATGAATGTCCTCCCTTTTCTGTGTACACACAACAACATCAAAACATAATGGCAGCTGTAATTGCTTGAGGCTGGCTCACTCACGAACTGAAGGAGGGAACTGATAGAGCTTTTCAGCAGCTTACTGGTCTTATACTGTAATCATTTCACAACAGCATTTGACTTTTTTTTAACACTTCCAACACAGAAATACATAATCCAACAAAAGACAAAATATGACAGGAAGTCAATGAAGTAGAGTTAACAGCAAATACAAGCAGAATAGGAGAAAGTAACATAGATAGATAGATAGATAGATAGATACTTTATTTATTTATCCTTCATCCTTCATTGTCCAAGATGGCCTCCATCTTACATTACATGCATCTCTCCACAACATTTCTGAGTGAGTCCAGACTCCTGCCAAGCACAGACCCAACCTTTTTTTTACCGGCTTGTCCAGTCTCTTTGTGTTCATGTCAGACTACAGCATAAAAAAGTACACTGGCCACCACTGACTGATAAAACATGCAGCATTTCGCTGCAGACGTCAAAGGACCTGAAGCCTCCTGAGGAAAAATAGCTGGCTCTGCCCCTTCCGGTAGATGGCATCCGTGTTCAGGGACCAGGTGCACACCTAGGTATTCACTGAAGGCCACTGAAGGCCATCATCAGATCCCTGTACTCCTCTTCCTGCCTGCTCCTGATACGCGCCACAATAGCTGTGTCATCCAAGTATTTCTGGATGTGGCAAGACTCAGAGTTGTATTTAAAGTCCGCCGTATACAGGCTGAACAGGAATGGAGCCAGAACGGTCCCCTGTGGAGCCCCAGTGCTGCTCATCACTGTCCCTGAGACACAGTTACCCAGCCAGACGTACTGTGGTCGTCCACAAGACAGGACGTGAAGTAGGGATCCACCCCCATCCTTTCCAGTGTGTCTTTAACAATGGGGGGTTGGATGGTGTTAAATGCACTTGAAAAATCAAAGAACATAATCCTCATGTAACCGCCTGGCTCATCCAAGTAAGAATGGGCCCAGTGGAGCATGTAAAGGACGGCATCATCTACTCCAATATGTTCTTTGTAGGCGAACTGTAGGGGGTCTAAGTGCTTGTTCAACCTGTGGCCTCAGAAGGTGGAGAGGCAGCCGCTCTAGGGTCTTCATGATGTGTGATGTGACAAAACAAAAGTAGTAGGAATATTCACCTGTTTGGTTTCTTTCTTTACATACATTCAAAGTTAAACCAAGCTTCTTTCGGTCATTGTGATTAGAGATTCATTCATTTTTACCATTCAGCAAAATAAGGCTTTGTCTGATTCTCCTCCTGTGGCAGAAATCACATCTTGTTACACCATCAGTGCAAGTCCAAATTCTTTTATTGCTGGTAGGAGAGGCCTGTCACCTGTTAAACACTGCTGGGAAGTTTCGGGCAATTGTCTATGCTTCCAAAAGAGAAACAGAAAAACATTCCCATTTTAAATGAAGAAAAGTACCAACTTCATTTTTATTCCATGAGTGACATTTTGCACTTGATGAGTTTTACCCTGACATGTGATTGAATTGTTCAGTCAGGGATAGAAATGTGTTATTATGATTTTTAGTCAACAAGAAATATATTTTAACCAGTAAATCATCTTTGTAATAAGGTTTTGTGCATTAACTCAATGGCATGAAATTACTTTCATTACTCATTACTCCATTTCTGAATCTTACAGTAGGTATAGTTTCCAGTGTAGGTATAGTCTAGTTCAGTTTAGTTTATTTACTTAATTAAAAGGGACAGCCATAGTTACAATACAGAGCACGAAAGTGACGTGCTGCACAGAGTTTAAAGCTATTGCTAGTTTTCAACTCTTGTCCCTGGTTGGGCTTTACACTGTATCAGCAAGTCTCTCCAAAGATAGTAAGCCTCTTTTTTCTTCCAGCTTCTGTGTGACGATGCCACGGGCCTAAAGTTCAATCCAGTCCTGTATCCTCGGGTGAGTTAATACCTAAACCCTCACATTTATAAATTCATGCAATCAAGATGAAATGACTCACCTTTTCCTCTCCCTGTCTGCTCCTGTTAAGAGACGAAAGGGCACTTCAAGTTTGGAAGTACAAATGCTGTGTTCACTGATATCTGTCACCACTTTATAGCAACGTTCATTTAGGCCTTGTCGTATTAACTGATGCAGTGTTCCATTAAATTTAAACTTTTGCCAGCATCGCACACCACCAACACCTTCATTAGGTCTAAATCAGAATAAATAGTGCACAACTTACCACATGTTTCCCCTCATAAGCCCCTACCTCTCTTAAATCTGCCCTGTTCTGTAAGTGCATTATTCAAAAAATGATTGATGATGCACGGCGACAACAGCAACTTTCTAAAATGGATACGATGGATCTGTTTCTCCTCCTGTGAGCCTGGTGGAGGAGTGTGATGGAGCATGCTTTCAGCCTGTGCCTCGGGGAAGGAAAAAAAACCCATCTGTGTCTCAGTCTGCAAGAGGCAGCGACAGGATCGCTGCCCTCGCTGGGGGCCGTGACAGTTTGTCACATGTCATCCTTACACAACAAGGATCCAATAAACGTGCCCCAGAGACATTTTGAAGAGGAGGAAAATTTGTTTTCCTAACTTCTACAGCAAACAGAAAGTGTGTAACGAGTTGAAAGATATGAGTAACTGTAGGGTTTAAGCAAGAGATTGTTGTTTTTGTTTCTGTGCAGGGGTCCCAGTTGATAGTGGCTTATGACGAACATGAGGTGAACAACACCTTCAAATTTGGAGTCATCTACCAGAAGTTTGGACAGGTGAACAATTTGAATGATCTTGTTGGTGTACTCCAGTTTACCTCATATACACCATTTTATCTTATATACTGTTTTATCTCCTGTATCTTTGTCCTCGACCATTTTTGCTTCACTTCGTCTCAGACATCAGAGGAGGAGTTGTTTGGGAACAATGAGGAGACGCCAGCATTCAAGGAGTTTCTCAGTATCCTGGGCGACAACATTGAACTTCAGGACTTTAAAGGGTAAGAGTAGGAGTAAGAACGAAGGCAGGATTCAGTGATATAATAAAACAGAAACCCGGGGAAAAAGGGTTCACGAGGATGAAGAGGAAGGATGCCGCTAGACTGTGTTGCCACAGAGTAGAATAGCAGGGTTTAATTACTGTAACTTTAAAGCAATTTGTCCTGCTGTTTCAGCTCCAGCATGTAATCAAAATGAACTGCTTAGAGAAACCGATCTTAGAAAAGAAAGTGCCTAATGGTCAGTTAATCAGAGCTTTGTATACTGTATTTATTGTCTTGCAGGCTATTGTGTTGCTTTTACTGTTAGGGAGGCTTTAAATCGTAGCTGACACACTTTAGGGTGGCACTGGAGCTAGTTAAACACAAAATGTAATGAAAGTGACATTGAAAATACATGAAATGAAATCATATTCATCCTTATTACTGAAGGATGAAGACCACACAGAGAACATGACACGTGTTTTGATATTGTGACAGGTTCCGCGGTGGGCTGGATGTGTCCCACGGACAGACAGGGTCTGAATCTGTCTACACTGTCTTCAGACAGAGAGAGATTATGTTCCATGTGTCGACCAAGCTTCCCTTCACTGAGGGAGACGTACAGCAGGTACAAGACTTTAATACCGGATTAGCTGCCAAGTACAGATGCTTTGGCTCGAATATGTCAATATTAAACTTGTAAGGTGTGGCTATTGACAATATGTTATGTTAAATTGCTATTATGTAAGCCGTGGGTAAATATTAAATCAATTGTTTACAAGTTACTTGATTCAAGACCGCTCAAATCCCAGTTAGAAGCAAATATATCCCTCTTGCATTCAGTGATTTATGTGTCATAGAAGAGGCAATGTGCTCCTTTTTTAGACTGTTCTCTGAGCTACACAAATACAAAATGAAATCTGTTGACCAACTAATAAATCTTTTCTTCTCTGCCCCACCCCAGCTCCAGAGGAAAAGGCACATAGGAAATGACATCGTGGCCGCAGTCTTTCAGGAAGAGTCCACACCGTTTGTTCCAGACATGATCGCATCCAACTTCCTGCATGCTTATGTGCTGGTGCAGGTGGAGAACCCGTGTACAGAGCACACAACATACAAGGTACAAACCGGACCGGTGTGAGGAATAATAACTGTGAGTGAGAAAATCAAACAAGCTCCAAAGAGTGTTTGAAACTGCCAGTGCTGCCTGTCAGCTGGGCAATGGGCAGAAAACAAAGTCCACATATGAATTACTGGATAAACAAAGACACAACAAATTTTATGATGAATCACTCATCACCAGTGATGACAATGTGTTCTCAAGTTCTCAAGTTTCCCTCTGACTTGATTTTGTCCTTCCAGCTTGAACCATGAGCCCTCCTGGAATAAATGCTGATAATGTGTCACTATTATTTATTTGATGTGAACAGGTGTCTGTTACAGCGAGGGAGGATGTTCCTCCTTTTGGACCCCCTCTCCCGAACCCAGCGGTCTTCAAGAAGGTGAGGGACAGAGTTCAGTCTTGGTGCAGCAGCACCTCGAGTCCGACTCGAGTCATGAATCTGATGACTTTTGATTCGACCGATTCAAAAATGACTTGCAGATTGACTTTTTTACTTCAACACCAGTGACTTGTGACTTCATTTGGATTTAAGGCTTTTGACTTGATGTACTCCCCAAACCAAGATTAAAGATGATGTCATAAAAAGTGTTGAGTGAATCAACCACTTCACTTTCACTCTGACAACAGACAATCTTTGAATCAATCCAACGGCAGCCAGTCACACACAGCAGGAAAGATGATGCCTAGGATTATTATTCAGTTCTGCAACATGTGAAACGTTTGGCCCAGAAATTACATATGATTGTAATTATGTCACAGATTAACATACCAAAATAACATACCAAGACACACCTGTTCATGTTGCTTTTAAATGCCCAAAAAAGTTAATTTCACAATGAAAAGCATTCAATATTTCTTTAGATGTGCCCATACAGTATTTATACTTATCACTCAAGTACTTTACCTAAGAATATTTTGAGATAATTGTACTTTACTTGAGTTTTTCCATTTTATCCTACTTTATACTTCAGTAGCTATAGTGTAGGCTACTCTTTACTCCACTACTTGAGTTTAACAGCTGTCTTTACAAGTTACTAAGACTTCACATAAAAACATTTGATGAGCTTATAAGATACAATACAGTGTTGAAGATAAGTTCTCAGTCTTTTCAGCTTGTGACACCTTACAAAAAGAGCAGCGTCCACTCTCTCTCGTGGTAACGTTGTTATAACCTTTTGAGGTCCAAAGAGGAAAAAATTATCCAATTTTTCACAAAAAAGCAAAGATTAGAGAAAAATACAAATATGAATACAAATTCATATAGATTGTTTTTTATTTCACCACTAATCGCCACGAGCTGATTAGTCAACCCCTAGGTTGGGAACACTGTACTGAACTAGCTAACTGTATATAAAGCAGTTAAAACTAGTTCCAACAGGAGCAGGACCAACAGTAACATCCTGCTTATTTATTCATGCATCAGTTGTAAATCATATATAATAATCTGGGCTATTTTTTTTACAGAACAATTACTTTTACTTTGGACAGTCTACATTGTGCTGCTACTCAAACCTCCAAAACATACATTTTTACATCTGCTCTGATTACCTCTTCCATCACTGTGTCTAGGTATTTAAAACACACTTATCTAAAGCAAATAAACAATTTTGGTGCATGTTAAAAAGAAACTTTGTCCCCATTTTCTTCTTGCATTTTGACATCACCCAGAGTTCAATGATTTCAGCTCTTTGTTACAAAGAGGAAATTGCTTTGGAGAAAAATCTGGCTCCGAGACTCAGTAGAAGATTCAGTTACTTACTGAGATATGATTTGCAGTATGTGAGGACAAAAAGAGAGGATTTGAGGCAGATGGGAATTTAAATCAGTGAGGCTGATACTTGTGATCAGACACAGTGGGTTGCAGAACTGTAATCTGTATGGTGCTGATAAAGGTCACCTTTTCCTTTCCTCTTCGCTGCCCCCCACCCATCTGCTTCATCATCTAACTCGAACCCTTCTCTCTCTCTCTGTTATTCTCTCTCACCAGGGTCCTGAGTTTCGAGACTTCCTGCTGACAAAGCTGATCAATGCTGAAAATGCCTGCTACAAATCCGACAAATTCGCCAAACTAGAGGTGACACACAGTCACTCAGCCACACTCAAACACCTCAGCATGCCTTCATTCACTGCTTGAATTTCATCCATAATCATCACCATAACCGATGATGTCCTACGTGAGTTTCATGTGTGTGAACCGATTGCAGGGGCGAACGCGAGCTGCGCTGCTGGACAACCTCCACGATGAGCTGCACAGACAGAGCCAGGCCACGCTGGGTCTGGGCCAGGCGGGAGAGGAGGACAAGCTGGAGAATGGAGGACATGGGGGTCTGCTAGAGTCCTTCAAGGTGAACATGAACCTGAACAAACATAGAAGTGACAAAGTGTAATTTCCTCTCTGCTCTGTGACAGTCACCATCATTACAGCACAAGAGTGTCAAGCTTTCTCACTGGTCACCTAAATGTCACAGATCTGGAAGATGATTTAAGGTGCTAAACCATTGGTGTCATTGTTGCTGCTGCTGCTGCTTGTTTATGTGAGAAGATTTTAATCTTATACTCCAACACAAGTGTGTGTGGGCGTTGAGGCATGTGCACCTGTGTGTATGTGTGTGTGTGTGTGTGTGTGTGTGTCTGTGTGTGTGTGTGTCTGTGTGTGTGTGTGTCTGTGTGTGTGTGTGTCTGTGTGTGTGTGTGTCTCCTCTCTCTCACAATCTCTCTCGCTCTTATTCTCAAACACACACACACACATATATCGAGGAATGATAGCCTCACTGACTTACTGAGGATGAGGAAACTTTTAGAAAGGTTGGAACTTTCTGAATTCTTACAGAAAATAGACCCGCACACCTACACGCAAGGAGACGCAATCAATCAGTCCTTTTTACCTCACAACCATCCTCTCAGCATATGTGAGCAGTATATGTGTGTGTGTGTGTGTGTGTGTGTGTGTGTGTGTGTGTGTGTGTGTGTGTGTCTGTGTGTGTGTGTGTGTGTGTGTGTGTGTGTGTGTAGGCTATGTGTGAAAGTGCATACAAACACTCTTGCCAACTAACTCTTTAGTTCTCATCACTCAATGTCCCTTCACACTCTTTTTTCTACAACTAAATGCAAATTGATGTTAATAGGACCATTGCAGTGTGTATTTTGTTCCATGTGTATGAGGCATGAACGTGTGACTGATGTGCCAATTTGGCTCTCTCGCTCTCCGCAGGCTTTGTGGACAGCTACTTTGCACTTTCTGCAGTCAGTCCCAGGGGGCGCTGTTCTCATTGCTCTTATGGCAGTCACTGTGTATTACCTGTCTGCATTACTGTAAATTCAACGGAGGATCACCATATGACCAATAAACAGTTACTTTGCATGATGTTGTTTGTGTTTATACTCGACGCTGTATTTGCAGTAGCTTAATTACAAACGAAAGAAACATATTAAAATGTTGTATAACTGTTCTTCATATTAATTTTACAGCCCGGAATCTATTACAAGCTCAAGAAAAGATTTAGATTGTTATGATTATTGTCATCAATTAACTAAATTAATATAAAGTCATTAAAATACTTCACTGATTAGTACAACACACTCCAACCCACTTCGCTTGTTTATTGGAGAACACCGCCCTCTGGTGGGGGGTATTGTGCAATAGCACCTATGATCCGATTTCTAATTCATATAAGAAAGTTCCGTCATTGTACTTTCTACACGAATCCCCTTCTCTGCCCTTCCTGTACTTTCCCTGTCACCAACTTTTCCCTTAAACTTCCCTCTGTGCGCCTCTTTCATCTTCTCATCCTCTCTCTCTCTCTCTCTCTGTTTCCTCTCTCCCTCCAGAGAGCCATGCGTGTCAGGAGCCACTCCATGGAGACCATGGTGGGCTCTCACCGTCACAGGAGCCCCGGGGTAGGGGGTGGGGTCCCAGCCAGCCTGAGCGGAGGGGGGCTGCCGCAGAGCACCAGTGAATGCACAAAGAGCACCTTCACTGTGAGTAAAATAGTCGAGGAAACCTTTTCTTTAACAACATGATGCATCACATTGAATAACGATATCTCTAAAATCAACCAATCAAAAATTCTGTATTTTAATCTAGAAAGTGTTCAGTTCACATTTTTCAGCTGTGTCTTATGTGAATATGTGTGTGAACACATTGTGGTAGTAACACAAAGAAGGTCATTTGAACAAAAAGAAAAAAAAACCCCACAAACATCAGATGATGTTTGAAGCCTCATTATGGCTTCAGCTGAATGTTGATTGCATTTTTGCACGCAACTAAGATTTTGTGTCCCATCTTTTACATTGAAGTTGTGTCAGGAAGGGATTTCTTCACAGTCCTTCACACAGGAGGAATCATCACAACCAACAGTAACTCTTTCAATGTACAGATGGGCATGTCAGTGTTGATTGAATAATTGATTATTGATTGTTTGTCGCTTTTAATCTCTTTAATTTGTGATTTTCAGCCTCCTGGTTTGTCAGCCAAGTCTCCTCTGAAGAGCCCAGTAAAACGGCGTTCAGGCCTCTTCCCTCGTCTCCACTCCAGCACAGAATCCCCCTCGGACAGACACTCACGCAGGTTGGTCTTTGCAGTTGCTGGCCAGAATCATGAATGTGTTACAGGAGAGACAACAAAGTTGAGTTTGTGTTTTTGTGCAGGTAGCTGGAGCCCAGAGGGTCTTGTCCTTGTTATCACTGATGTGTTTCCTTTATCTGCAGTGACCAAAAGCCTGCGGAGATCTGCCCACTGTCCCAAGAAGTGAGGTCAGAGACATCATCCAATCCCAGCTCACCTGAGATCTGCCCCAACAAAGAGAGGTGAGACCAAAGCTATTTTTTTTATGGAGATCATCGCAATACTTCTCTAAAGTCTCTAGAGGGAGAAGTCTAAAGCCAAACTTGACACTGTGTTTTGAAATGGATTCAGCACAGACAGTAATTTTAAATATATGTCCAGGATATCTCATCGCTGGAGATCACTCCTCATCCCTAGTTCTCTTCTCAAAGTCTCCTGTAGAGGATCTGATTTTCTGTTTATCTTCCCCTCTGTTTTCCTCCACAGGCCATTTATCAAGCTGAAGGAGTGCAGCAGCGGCAGGCCCAATATATCTCGCTCTTCATCCAGCACCAGCAGCTTCAGCAGCACCACGGGAGAAACAGAAGCTCTGGAAGACCTGGAGACAGTGAGTATAACACTCAGCTTGTTTGACCAAAGTTAAGCAGAAGCAAGTGTGTTCAGCTCTGTCCCACTTTTTCACTTGTTTACATTGTAGTGAGCTTGTCTTTACAAGAGAAAGGAAAGGAGTGATTGGCTAGAGGTGGAGAGTGTGAGGTTGTTGGTGTTGTCAAAGCTCTCACAGATGAAAGTGTCTGTAATTACCAAGAGTTGTCTAATAGAGAATGTTGAATGTCAGCACATTGATTATAATGATTACAGCTCCTCTCGCTTGCAGTGCATCAGATGACACAGTTTGTCAGTGTATTATCTCATGTGAGAAATCGTTCCCACTCTCAGCATTTCACTTTGGATCGATGTGCAAAGATGCACAGTGTGTTGTGAAACTTGTCATGCTTATTATTGAATGCCAGAGAAAATAGTTCAAGTAGGGATTTGATGCATGATGCCAGCAGTAAAGTACACCAGTAATCGGCAGAAGGGAAAATTTGATACAAATACAAAAAGACAAATCTGTTATATTTTACAAATTCTTTCATTCTTGAAAAGCACTCATTATGTTTTGATGCATTTTAATGAATATTTCAGCACATTGTGAAATGTGGTTATTGCTTTCTTGCCATGAATTATATGAGAAGATTGATGTGGCTCTCATATCTGTACACTAAATATGAAGCTACAACCAGCACCAGTAGCTTAGCTTAGCATAAAGACTGGAAACAGGATGAAATGGCTAGCCTGGCTGGTCCACATTTGTGAAGTCGTATTCCTAAAATTGAATAGTGGTATTTTCAAACTTTTCTAACTATTGCTTTAAAAAAAAAAAACACTTACTGTGAATTTGCGTCATAAAAATGAACACCAGCCGAGAATGTTTAAACTATATTATTCAAATGATTGGAAAAAAAGTAATTTACATTATGATGGCTTTTTCCTGCAAAGCACTATTTCCACTGGCAGCTGCACCTTCAGTGACTCTGACTTTGCTGACAGGAAGGTTAATGTCGACTTCAGCAAAAATACTCTTCTTTTCCTCCTCCACCTCTTCCGCCCTGTTAAGTCTCAGCTCTACTCTCTGTCTTTCCCTCAGGTTAGCCACCCCTCTATAGCTTCCTCGTCTGCCTTTAGCCCTTCCCTCAGTGTCGACAGCCAGGGATCAGGTACCCCTGTCATCATGTGTCGCAGTCCAACAGGTAAATCTACAATTTTACGCACACTGAGAGTATACAGATCATACTAAATTTTCTAGTTTTTTTTTTTTTTTTTATCTGTGATGAGCATTTCCTTCCTTTTGTGAGCATTTCCTTCCCTCTTCTGATTTTTGTAGATGGGAAAAATAAGACGTCACCGAGGTCAAACTTGAAGTTCCGCTTTGACAAAATGAGCCACTCATCCACAACTGTAAGTCTTAAATTTGAAGTCTGTCTGGTTAGAATATTTTAATAAATACATTTAGTATTCTTAAGTGTGTTCCCTGTCTGCGAGTGCTGGTGGAATATAATCAACATTTTAAGCCAGAAACTCCAGAAACTTGATGTCTGAATTAACAGAATTAGTGGAGCATGCTGGGAGCAATAAGAAAAGGTATCTCTGTGTGTTTTTAATACACTCACTGTCCATCTTATGGACATCTGGAGCTGGTGTTGGGTAATAAACAGTGAACACAGTGAACATTCCTCTAACTGGCCTCTCTTTTCACTCTTCTCTCTTTCAGTCTGAGTAGCTTTGTGGACTGGGAAAAAACAGACTTGCACAACAGAGGGACAGCACGAGCTGATGGAGCTGCAAAAAGAAAAAAAAAAAACACCACATATCACCGCAACAACCACATAATCCCTGTAGAACCACTTCCCTTAAGCCAAGGATAATCTGACAAATGTTACCATCTGCAACAGAGTCCCAAAGCACTATAGACTAACTGAAAATACTGTGAGTGTATAGGGAGGAGAAACATGTAGGATTTCTTTTAAATCAACCTTGAGCTACAGAAATTAATCAATATTACAAGTTGCTGCATCTCAGTTGTTAAAATTGTTCACATAATATGAAAGTCCTGGCATGGCTGTCATACTGTGAGCGTGGGGCGAGCTAGACTCTGCCTGCAGCTTCTTCTCAAGCACCGTGTGTAATAGAGAGAATCAGTGGTCCGAACAAGTGGTAACATGAGACTATGGCCGAACTGTTACTCTTTATCTAGTGAACTGCTGAGTGATCCGTGGAATGGATGTCTTTAAGAATTGTCACACAAGATGTTTCTTTTGCCTTTGCCCTTCAATGGTACGTCTGGCAACAGTTCGTCTTCTGCCTAAAAAAAGTACGCAGACACACACAAACATACACATGCACAGGAACTACATGTACAACAGACTTACAGTAGCAAAACCTTGGAGGTGGTAACACTGGGAGTCTCAATTTTCCACTGTAGGATCTGAACTTGTTCTTTGCATATAAAAATGCTTTTTTAGGGAATATGTGATTTAAAAAAAAAGAAAAAAAAGAAAGAAAAGCTTTTGTAACCTTGCTAGCTGCTGCACTGTGTCTACTGCACTGTAAACACAACATTGCTGACATTCAGTCGATACCTATGACAGCATTTCTCTATCTGGAAGGGTTACTTCAAATCCCTGAACTCAAGTGCTTGGTTAGTGGAAATTAGCTCACATGGGGCACAGTAGGAGACACTGCCAACACATTTTGCCATAAGCTTATTTTAGCCAAAGCTGCGCCTTACAATCTATCTAAAAGCCCTTTTCACCACTGATGCTCTCTTTCTTTCTCTATCTCTCTCTGTCTCTGTCTCTCTGTCTGTCTCTGTCCCTCACTGTGTGAGAGGATGAGAATCTCCTGGATCTGGTTACAGCACAGTTGTGGGTAGCCGACCAACACCCACATTTGCTGAAAATAGACGTTGCACTTACTGAAAACATTTCACCCTCTGATACCTCCCATTGAAGCTTGCTAACTCGGTGTATCTGTGTTTATGTTTGGTGGAACTTATGAACAGGAACGTCTCCAAGGTTTTTAAGTTTCCCAGCATGTGAGCTGATGGAGATGACTTGAAAAAGATGCTTCGGGTTAAAATGAACCTTTGAACCACCTTTGGCAAAAACACTTTGAATGTGAACTTGGAGCTTTTTTTTGTACTTTTGATTTCATGCTCTGTTAGTTGTTATTACAAAGTCTCTTAGAAGTAAATTGTAAAACCAGTTGCTTACAAGCACAACAGGACAATAGGTCGACTCTAGTCCTCAACTATACCATAACATTAGCCTGGAGCTGCACAAACTGGAGTTAGCAGGGCAAAGTGGGAGTGTGTTAATCAAGAAAAGGCTTAAAGACGCACAGATGTGTTTACTATATGACCAAACTGGTAGGTCCTTGGAAGAATGTTTATGTCCTCTTACTGTGTAGAGAACCATTCCTGTTGCTGAAATGATGGCTTTATGGTTCATGAAGTTCTGTCACATCAAAAACACACAAGGTTTAAAGGCTCAGGCCACCCAACTTACAAAAACCTTTGTAATTTAGGTGATCTTTAAATTACCAGGAAACTGTTCTCCAGGAAGTTCCTTGAGTAGTACCTTTCTGATATAGCTAGAAAGCAAACTAGAATCAGACGTGATACCTAATAAACACTGTTTTCAGTTAGCAGAGACCAGTGATTACCTCGAGTAAAGGAAGCAGGAACAGAAATCCTCCAGACGGAAGTGAGAAGTTCAGATGTCATTTAGTTTGTAGCAGGTCTCGCCTAAATGCCCTGCAGCCTTTTCTCTGTTAATATGCTTAATTTATTAAAAATAACTTCTTTTGCATTGATGTCATGTAAAAATGTACGTGCAGAGTAAGCTAATTAATAAGGTAAAATGATTAAAGGAAATATATTAATTTAAAAGATGTCTAAACACGTATATGTATATTTGGTTATGTAACGTGCCATTGAGAATTTATTCTAAAATAAAATGTTGTATTTTGTGTCATTTATGTATCTTCTCTTCTTTTACAATGTCACACAACACTTACAAGCTTACAGCTCAATACAGGGGTATTTCATATTTATTACTTACTAATATTTTATGTAAAAAATTGGATTTGCATATTATGTTGTCAATGGTCACATTTCAAAACAATAAAACCATTAACATGAATGAAACTTTAGCACAACAAAAAGTCTTTTCTCTGTAATACCTTGAGTGATTCAGTGGCTATGCTGCAATATCTCCTCATGATCTGCTCCACTTGCTGTCTAATAATCAGGAGAGTCTATAGACATCAATAGAAAACCACAAAAAATATACTCCTGCATCATTTTGTTTCTTATGTCGTCATCTGATGAAATCAGACAGATTTTTCACATTATGCAGGTGAGGCTCAGTAAGTCCACATCATCATTTTCAAGCAGTATCCCACAATTTAATTTAATGGAATTCACCCCCAGCAGACAACTTTCTACCTCCACTATGCTTCTACTGCAATCAGGAAAATTTGACAAATGCGTACACAGTGGACTGGGCAGGTTCTCTGGTGGCTACAGGTTGCTTCAGTGCATCCTTGGATATGTCTGCATACACCACCTGTAAAGTGATAAATGAAAAAAGGGTCATATGTACCAACTGAAAGACACATTCAAATTTTGCCAGGGGACCAACCAGTAATGAGGGCCCTGAAAAGGGCATATTTTCTTGAAACAGGACATCTACTCACCTCAGTCTTCTGCGGGGACATGGGGGAAGCTGTATGTGAAATGTGAAAAAAAAATAGACAATACAGTGAAGAGAGCAGTTTTAGTAACTTTAAATCAGTGTTGCATGTAATTAAAGTAAGAATAAGAGAAACCTTTTTGAGAGGAAGTGCTACGTTTCTGTGGTACTCTGCATCGGGGTGGAGGCTGTGGAGCCGGATATGGTTGTTGTCTGTATACAGCTGCATGTGTGGACTGTGACCTGGAAAATGGCTGAGGCTTGTCCTCTGAGCTCAGGCATCGAGCTAATCCCATGATGAGGGGAAGACAAAGTAAAGCACCGGCACAGACCAACACCCTGTGCAACGACTTCCTCTGAGAGGGGACAGCTGCGTGGTGGAAGAGGAGGAAGATCATACACAAATGTGAGTAGACTCACTAGACAAAATACAGATATACACATGTTTGGACTCACATTATCATGCACACAGATACACATTCGGTGAACACATGATTCTACATACCTGCAGTGATGTTTACATACGTCAGATGTCCCATATCAGTGTTACCTTGATCCCACACAACCTTGCATCTATAGGAACCTTCATCCAAATGGCTGACTCTCAGCAGATTCAAAACTAGGCGAGTTTCATTTGCTGAGAGCTCCTCATTAGTCAAATAGTGCCTGTCAGAGTCTTTAATGGTGCTGAACGTTTTGTCTGTTGAATTTTTCCACGTCCAGTTCCCTGTCCAGTTAACTCCACAGTGCTGGACCACACAGGACAGAGACTGACTGCCCCCTTCTGCTACATAAAATATGTCCCGTTTTGCCAGAACACCATGGCTGCATTCTTCAGCATGGAGACCTGAAAAAGGGAAGTCTTCCTTCAATTTAGGAACAGACGTAAGTTGTGTAATTTTTGTACAAGGCTGACTCTTCAAATTACTATAAAAAGCCAGAGTGAGGGTCTGAAATTAGATTCATTTAGATAATTTTGCCTTTATTCCATGTCATTTAACCAACTAACCTAACTATCTAATGACTTTTTATGCCTTACTATACTATGACTTTTCTGATTTCATTAAAACATGCTTATTCAAATTCTATATGTTTGTATATGATTTTCTTAATAATTTCTTATGACATTTAAACATACATTTCTATCTTCTATATCTACATTATATGAACACATACTTACTGAGTTTTTGGGATGGATATATATTTATGTAACATATGTCTATAATATAAACAGACATAAAAATACTTGTTTTTATTAGCTAGACATATATGTCAATATATGATTCTGTTCGAATTTCTAACAGTTCATATGTAAATTCACATATATGGACTATACTTTAAATACATATATTATTTTACTTCATATGTACATATATTTCATATATGGAAATTTAACACATGTACATACATTACATTTGCGTATGGGCATGCTTGAATGTAAATTCAGATCTTATATATGTTAATAAACCGTTTGGGTGACGTATACGCCCTCAAGTCGAATACTGAGCTTGTAAGATTTGTTTTTAGCTTACTTCCACCATCCTCCTGGAACTCACTACAAAACGCATTAAAAATCATTTTGTTGGCAACTCTTGGTTTATATGAGACACATGAACCACTGTGCAAACAACTCTGAAGTAATCCAGTAGCATAATGTGGATAAACTACTAAAGAAACCACACACACACAACACACACACACACACACACACACAAACAAGATTTGGTTGATCTGACGATTTGTTCAATAGAATGCAATTCAATTTTTGTTGTTTTTTGTTTTCAGAAAAGCAAATTATTCGCAATAAAAAAGAGAGTGAGCGTGACTGTGATTACCAGAGCTTGTATTTACAAAAAATATATGTAAATTGGAGTGAGACTGTGAGTTACCTTCACTACAGATACTCAACAAAAGTGAATAGAAAGGGACAAGACTGTGTAGCCTAAGCAAGCCAAGTTCCTCAAATGTAACGTTATAGGAAATTTCCCTAGTTCATAATGAGAATTTCAATATGAATTTCGATTTATATTGTGTTACTTACCAGTAAGCAGAATGCAGAGACAGCTGATGACACTGAGTAGAGAGTCATGCATGTCTGACACTGACTGTTTTGGTTAAGGTTCATCACAGTTTGGTTGTACGTCCTCAGATCAGTTTAAGTCGACATGTCGTGGCTTGACTGGGAGCCAGAAAGACTTGTTTGGAAAACTCCGCTGCTTTGTACAACTGTAGTCAGTCGTTGAGAGCCAGTCGGCTGATTCTTTCTCTCACTTTCTCTTCCCATTTATCAATAATTTGTCCGGTTTTCCTTTATCCTGCTGCTGTGCTTGTCCAGATGGAGGTAAAGGAAGGAAGTGCCAGTAATCAACCAACCCCCTTTCACACACACACACACACACACTAACACACACACACATGCCAAAAGGCTCGAATGCGAAATTACAGGAAAGCAATGACTTCATGAGTGGGGATATACACTTTCCAGGAAATGGGCCAATTTCTATGAACAACAAAACAAAGCAAACCAAACTGAGTAATACAGCAAATGACCAGCTGCTCCTCTGTTTTGCACAGTGTATGTATGTGTATGTATGTGTGTGTGTGTGTGTGTGTGTGTGTGTGTGTGTGTGTGTGTGTGTGTGTGTATGTATATATATATATATATATACTGTATATATATATAGATATATTTATACACACACCAGTAAGCAGAATGCAGAGACAGCTGATGACACTGAGGAGAGAGTCATATATATATATATATATATATATATGCTATATAGTCATAAAGTACCTGTCTGCTTGTCTTCGGTGATAGACTTTTAACTTTAACTCCAGCATAATCTCATTTTGTATGAATTTTTGCATTGTATGTGTGTGTGAGACAGAGTTAGAAATTATAACAACACACAAGACGTTTTGTTTAACTTGGCAAGTAGGTTTAAGGATTATAAAGTTTCAAAAGATTTAAAAGCTTATTACATCTACAATGTTTTGACTTTTTATACTCTGTACATTCCCCTTGCACAAATAGCGAATTGATTTTCAGCAAAAGGTTAACCTTCAAAATAAAAGCTGTTTACTTTTGAAGAGAAAAAAAATATTAAGCAAATACTGAGGTCTCGAATTTCAGCAAAATCAAACACAAGAGTTTATTATGAATTGATGGTATCATGTGTCTACATGTCACACAAGGACTGTGAATTACTCTTAGATTGTGAAATATGGATTTTATTTTGTAAAAGGGCGCGCTCGTTTAATGTTGCTACTAGCCGTCCCTATCACATGATGTGTGGGAATAACAAGGGAGGACTCGTAACAGTGATGGCCTCTGAACTGTAAGCTAATGTAAAATATAACAGCTGGAAAGAATCTGTGAATAGGCTTAACTCCTTTTTGTTCATGGTAGCTATTAGTTCAATTTAGATCCAGCAGCAGGGGGTCATTATTCATGATGCAATTTGAGATGAGTGACTGAAAATGGCTACCTTAAATATAGACTAATTGCCTCTCAACTGTTTAAACAGATGGATCACCAGAGAAAAAAACATTCAACCTTTCTCTCTTAGTGGGAATCAATGTGGCCTATGTATCAAAATATCAAAAATAATGAACAGTAGCCTAGTTTTGTTATAGTAGTAGTAGTAGTAGTAGTAGTAATGAACAAGTAGTATATATATAGCTCCTTGTCACTTGTCTCTCTCGCGGATCCCATTGCCTGCTGGGACCATTTACAGTCTATGGCTTGGACTCGAAGTGGTTGGATTTTGGGGGTGTGGGAATATAAATAGATAACAAACTCCGCCCTGCCGCCACGTCAAACACCGACCGCGATTCCATAAACGAACGCACCCTGTGATTACATTGACTGACTGTCGGTGAATGAGATAAACAAAGAGCCGGCGACTTTTCAGGAAAACAGACAACGCTCATTTAGCTCCTCGGGAACATGGAAACTGGTAGGTTAGGTGCCACTTTCTCCTGTTTCGGTCACGATGGTTTGTGTCGCCAGCAGTCTGAGCGCAGTGTGTATTTGACAGCTAGAGGGTGACAGCTGAGGGAGCTAACATGCTAAGTTAGCATGCAATGCGTTAGCATGCAAGTCTGCTAGGATGACTTTGCTGTTGTTTTCTCAGTTAGGTTGACAGTTCATCCCGAATGATTGTCAGCAAGGTACCTACGTCCAATTTATAGGCACAGACAGCTAACACACCTGACCTCGTTGGTTAAAAGCTAGTGTCAGTTCCAGGAACTACAGTTGTTAGCATGGGCAGCTAGCTAGTCAAGAATGGAGTTAAGAAGTGCCAGAATCTGTCAAACTCTTTAAAGTGGTAGCGATTAATTTAAGTAGTTTTCGGTAGGGAGCACAGTTTTTGACCCTTAAAGAGGACGGTTTCGCCTATTTTGCGCCACTCTTTTAATAGTTTTAACAATTACTAGTATTGTCTAAGTTAACCTTTAGCCAGCCAAATCAATTGAGAAGGATTTTTTTTTCAGTTTCACTGTAGTTAACCCCAGGTTTCATAACACTTTTTTTTATCTGGGAGGCAATGGTTTGGGGTTTGGTCATATAGTTATTTCTTTAATCCATGTTAATAAATTGTTCTCATTTTACAAATCATAATATTTTCCACATATTTTTAAAGTTTGAATTAAAACAAGGACTTTCATGGCGTCATAATACTCTTTGGACTGCTTTTGGATGTCTGCTGAGCCTCCACTGTTATTAGGCTTCATGCCAACTGTAGTTCAGCCCTTTGCACATGGAGCAGTGATGGGCATAATAAAGTGCTTAGCTTAAATAAATCCAGTTGTATAACCAGTGATGTGTGAATTTGCAAGTCACCCTTGATGCCTGTGTTTGGCCCCTCCATTGAAAACCACTGTGATGTCTGTCTACACCATTCATGCCCTCACTTGTTGAATAACATGTCAGACACCTTAGTTACGTTCAGATTTTCTCGTAATTGTTCTTCAACACACACCCTTCTTATACTTTTTTTGTGTAAGCTGCTGTCAGTTTGAAGCTATTGACTAGTACTGATATAGACTGAACATTCATATCTTACTATTTCCCCCTCATTATCCATCCATACTCATCAATGTCAAAAAATTCAATGTTGACACAGCACCCCATGCAGGCCCGCTCTCAAAATATTCTCTGCCTCAGGCTTGCTTCTGCTTTTTTTCCTGATAATAAGGGGATGACAATTAATGAAGTTTGACACAGGCCTAATCTGTGGCGGTCAGTGTATTTCAGTTTTGTGTCAATGGAAAATAACAGAATGCAGCTGAGAGAGAGGGGTCGAACTCTAGGCAGCATGCATGACTAGGCAATGTTCCTCTCAATGTTTAATTGCTTTGCCCTGTTATTTGATGGAATTACAAACCACACACCAGTGCCAGTTTGATTTTGTCAGAGTGTGTGTGCTCCCCTCCTTCCCCTGTCCAGTGAGACTAGACGAGCTTTCCCATGTGTTCCCCTCACAGATGAAGCCAGATGAGTGACACCAGCCCTGAGCTCTCTAGGGCCATTTATAGTACTACTAGAAAAGCATTCTTGATTTCTTCCTTGTTTGATGCTTCTGTCTCTCCCTTTTCCAAGAATGTCCTTCAGACCTTATCGGAACTCTAATCATAATTGTGTTCAGCATCTTTATTTCCACCATCCATCTGCGTATGGATGATGGAAAAAACATGCACCAGACAGTTGAAGTATTCAATAAAGGATGTGCAGTTATTTTATGACTATTGATCTGATGTTTTCCAGGCATTATTGTGACATCTGAGTGTGTGGCTGCTCATAAATCAGATCTTAAGTAGGAAGTGTATATGCCTTAAGTGCACAGATGGGTAATGGGAATTTGGACAGTTGGAAATTCTTCTTCCAATTTATAGTCATCATTCAGACTGTCTAGCTGTGAGAGTCTTCCTATAACAAGTTTTTTTTTTTTTTGCTTGTTCTGCCACCTTCCTTCTTTCACCATTCATTCTGCTGTTTTCTCTTCCTGTATTTTATTCTTAATTGCATCCTTCTCTTTGTAACTCTCCCGTCTTGCTCCTCCAGGTCTAAGTCAGGAGAAGGTTGCCACCTTCATTAAGCGGCTGCGGGCCGAGCCACGCTACCTGTTGGCCCAGAATGTGTCAACGTGCATTGACCCGTTGGAGGTTTGTCTGCACCGGCAGACTGTCCAGGATACTGTGCACATCTTCCAGCACTCTATCCCCACAGAGGGAAAGCCTGTCACCAACCAGAAAAACTCAGGTAGGACAAGTACTACAGCAACATTCATGATGTAGTTTACCTTCCACAAGAAGAAAAAATATGTCTGTATGTGACTATGAGCGATGTCTTTCTCCTTGGACCATCGCTTCCTGGAAAACTGCAGTTTGTACAGAATGTGTAGAATTTGTATATTGGTGCTCACAGCAACATTACAGAGCACAAACAAATGTTATTATATGGAAGTTTGAAGTAAATAGTTCAGAATTGACATTTTAACATACCTGGGTTCCAGCAGGTCTTCATTATAACAAATGCAACACAAGCTGCAAACTGAATTCAAATAATATTTTTGTCTTAAATATTTCCTGATTGCAATTATGCATCAAAAATGACAGATACAAATACTCTCACTTTTGATATAATGTTACGCAGTTGTTTTGTGGTGGAGTGCTTGTTGCAAAAGTGTTTTCCAGACAGATTGTGAGTGTGGGCGACCAGCAAAATCAGTAAATATCAAAGTCTGCAGCATCTGTTTTATTCCTTAAAATGTTGAAAGAATGACATTTGCATTTCATGGAATATGTGTATGATGTGTATTATATATATTCCTCTAAATTCAGGTCCACTGTTACACACCGGGAGTCTCACATGAAACATTTTTTGTGAAATTTGGTTGATGCAGTTTTTTTAAGCATACCAACTACATCTAATTCCCTGTTTGCAAATCTTTGTCATCATCACTTTTTTTTTAAGTATATTTTTTGGGCGTTTTTATGCCATTATTTGATAGCACAGTGGAGAGAGACAGGAAATGGGGAGGCAGAGAGAGGGGGAATGACATGCAGTAAAGGGCCATCCGATGCGGGATTCGAACCAGGGCCAACTGCAGCGAGGACTGTAGCCTCTACACATGGGGCGCCTGCTTAGACCACTACGCCCCCGTCATCATCACTTTTGATGATGACAAACTCATGAAGTTACCATAGAATTAGTAAATTGGATGATTCAAATAAATTGTCAGGTGGTTTATCAGTTTCTCACTAAAACTACCAAATGGCCATTTTTCAAAATTCCCTTTTCAGTGTTGTTCATAACTCACACTAAAATCTGTGTTTCCTGTTTTCTGGCTGAA